GCGCAGCTGGAACTCTGCTACTTGCTTATATGAGGAAGTTTTGTCCTGCAAGCTGCTCCCAAATAACCAGCACAGAGACTTAATATTAGTTAAAGATGCTTGGCCAAACCTCAGGCTTGCTACTCTTAGACTTAAATTAACCCATATTTCTTATCTGCTCGTGGCCACTTGGGCAGAGACCCTTCTTTCAACACAGCACATTCATCTTGCTTCTCCCTGCCAGTCTTGAAGCTCCTCCAACTCTGCCCTTCTTCCTCCCAGCATTCTGAGTTTGGTTGTTTGTCCTGCCTATACTTCCTGCCTGGCTGCCGGCCAATCAGTTTTTTATTAAACCAATCTGAGTGACAAATCTTGACAGTGTACAACAGGATTATTCCATAGCACCTGCTCATTTCTGGACCAGTCTAACCAATTGGTGGCCATGGGTTCAGTGGGATCCTGTCTCAAAGAACAAGGCAGAAAACAGTATCAGAAGACAACTAATGTCAACCTCTGGCCTACACACATTCATGCATGAGCCCCCACCCCTGGCTCTGATACATGTACACAAACACAAACAAGTTCTGTGAAACCAAGTTATTACTGTCTTACCATCGTGTCCCAGCACAGAATGTTTCTTAATTGCTGTAATCTCAATTCATGATTTGTTGGTTTTATTTTGTACAGCTGAATAGATACATTCCAAAAATCTCCCAGTGGACACCTGGGATTTTGATCAGGGAGGGAAGGCACCTAGCAGCGGCAGTATGAGTATGGCTGGTCCCTGTTGGTTTTTTTGATCCTCTGAATCCAGGTGAGAAAGCAGAGGAAGGGCAAAGAGCTGCCCTCCTTCCCCAGATCTAAGCCTTTCTAAACAGCGTTAAGTGGCACAGTGGATGAAACAATATGTAAGCATTGCCTTGGCAAGTTAGAGAACAAGGCTAGCAAATTTTAGTTTGACACAAATCTGTCAGTGTTCTCTTAATTTTGCATAGTGACTTTTTTTTTTTTTTAATTCAGAGATCTGCCTGCCTCTGCCTCTCAAGTGCTGGGATCAAAGGCAGGCCCCACCCCTACCCCACCAGCTGCAATATTTGATTTTAAGGCAGGTTTTGAGTTAAAACAAAATCCTCTTGGGGATGATAAAGTCAGTTGGTTTGTTCTGTTCCACCTTGGCTAAATTCTCCCCACACCAGTGGGAAGAAATGATGTTGGTACCTCTTAGGATGGGCAAGACTCCTTGGAGCACACTGTATAGCGGTAGGCAAGTTAATGGTAATTTCCAAGTGATCTGCTTCTTGCCAAGACATTTACATTTTGTTGTTCCTTTGTTTTGGCTTTTGGAAACAGGGTTTCTCTTTGGAACAAGTCTTGGCTGCCCTGGAACTGGCTTTGCAGACCTGCCTGGCTTAGAATAATTTTTATTACAAAGATGCACTGAGGGACCTGAGGCCCAAAACCTTGTTACAAAGAAGCTGAGATGTTAAAAGGGTTAAGGTATGGAGTTCATGAAAGTTAACAAAATATATACTGGTGTGGTGGCTCAGGAGGTAAAGGGAGGAGGAATGATGTAAGTTCAAGACCAGCCTGGGCTACAGACTGAGCCCTTGCTTCAAGAACCAAAACATACATGCACGATCACACACAGTTGACTTTTATGTTTGTGTGGTTTGTAATGTGTGTGCATATGTGAAAGTGTGTAATGTGTGTGTGTATATGTCTGTATGCATATGTGCCTGTATGTTTCTTGGTTTTCATTGCAGAGGTCTTTTACTTCCCTGGCTATGTACATTTCTAAGCATCTTATTTTTTTTTTGACATGGTCTCATGTAGTTGAGGCTGTCCTCAAACTCCTCATCCCCTGCCTTTACCTCCTATGTACTGGGATTGTGTGCCACAATGCCAGCTAACACCCAGTGGGCTTTTTTAATTTTTAAAAATGTATTTATAAGCAATTTTGCCTTCATATATGTATCTGTACCATGTGGGTGCCTGCTGTTTGCAGAAGTCAGACCCCGTCTTTGTCAGGGTTACTACTGAGATGAAACACCATGACCAAAAGCAACTTGGAGAGGAAAGTGTTTATTTTGCTTACATGTCCACAATACAGTTCATAATCAACGAATGTCAGCTGGAGGTAGGAGCTGAAACAGAGGCCACTAAGGAGTGTAGCTAATTGGCTTGTTATGGCTTGCTCAACCTATAGGACTCAGGACCACAAGCCCAGAAGTGTTTCCATTCACAATGGGCTGGGCCCTCCATATCACTAAGAAGATGCCCTACAGGCCTGCCTCCAGCCCAAACTTATGGAGGCATTTTTCCAATTGACATAAAAACAGCCAGTATAGATCCCAGGAGACAGAAGTTATAGTTGTAAGATACAATGTGGGTGCTGGGTACTAAGCCTGGCTCATCCATTGTTTTTGATTGCTAACACCTCTTTCCAGTCTCCACTTAAAAAATAATTTGAAATATATTTTAAATTTAGGACAATTTTTAAATTGAAATATAATTACTAGTTCACTTTTCCCCTTTCTATTTCTCCCTATAATCCCTCCCATGTACCCTGCTGTCTTAGTTAGGGTTTCTATTGCTGTGAAGAGACCCATGGCAATTCTTATAAAGGACAACATCTAATTGGAATGGCTCACTTATGTTTCAGAGGTTCAGTTCATTATCATCATGATGGGGAGCATGGAGGCATGCAGACAGATGTGGTGCTGGAGGAACAGATGAGAATCCTACATCTTGTAGGCAACAGGAAGTCTCCTGAGACACTGGGTGGTATCTTGAGCATAGGAAACCTCAAAATACACCTCCACAGTGACACACTTCTTTCAACAAGGCCATACCCACTCCAACAAAGTCACACCTCCTTATAGTGCCAGTCCCTGTGAGCTTATGGGGGCCAATAACATTCAAACTACCACACCTTATTCCCTCAAAATCATGGCCTCTTTTTCACACACACACACACACACACACACACACACACACACACACACACACACACACACGTCTAATATGTAAATACATTTACCAAACCCAAGTATAGCTAGCTACTCCTCTTTGCTTTTGGTTTCTGTTTTCTTGAAATACTATCCATTCTTTCATTTTTATTGTGATGGCTTCCATTTGTAAAGAGTAAGGTTTTTCCTGCCGCCGGTCTGGACCCACAGCGGTGCCAGCCCCCCAATAACACACTGAGACATCGTATTAGATATAAAGCTGTTGCCAGTTACTTGTTTATCGGCTAGCTCTGTCTTAATTATTAACCCATTTCTATTCATCTAAGTGTTTCCACATGGTCTCATCTTATCGGAGAGTGGGGCCGGTGGTTCTGCTTTCTCCAGTCTCTCCATGCTGACTCCTCCCTACTACTTCCTCTTTCCTCCTTGTCTCCAGTCCCACCTATCTTGCTTTCCTATTGGCCAACAGTGCTTTATTCATTAACCAGTACGAGAAACATATTTACAGAATAACATCTCCCATCATCCACTAAGTGAATTTCTTGCAGACAGCAAATAGTTGTTTGTTTGTTTTTTTAAACCCATTCAATTGGTCTGTATTGTTTAATTGGAGAATTAAGACCACTTATATTTAGGGATGCTGGGTTAGGGATATAGCTCAGATGGCAGAATGCTTGCCCAGAATGTACAAAGCCCTAGGTTTGACCACCAGAGCTATATAAAGCTGAACGTGGTGGTTCATGTCTGTAATTGCAACACTTAGAAAGATCATAAATTCAAGGCCATGGTCTGCTACATAATGTGCACTTTGAAGCTAGCCTGGGCTACACGAAACCTTGCTTCAAAACATACATACATACATACATACATACATACATACATACATACATACTTAAGGCTATTTAAAGGTATGTGTCTTTTCCCCTTATTCATTTTATAGGATTGCTGGTTTTTTGGTAATAATACTTGATTCTCTAATTTTCATTATCTAATCTTCCATTGAGCTCTCTGACTACCCTTTTTAATGTGTGTAGTAGATCCTTAAGTATCTTTTGGCGATGCTGCCTTGGTGTTGAACTGTGCATGTCTGTGGCCCAGTAAAGTGGCTTAGTGGGTAAAGACACTTACTGTCAAACCTGACAACATATGTTCCATGCATGGGGGGGGGGGAGAGAAGTGACTCTGTATGTTGTCCTCTGACCTCCATATGTACACTGTGGTATAAATATGTATGCATGTGCACACATACATATACATAAATAAATACATGTTAAAAAATACCCTAGTCTTCAGTAATAATTTTAGTGTACTTTGTAAACTAGGCTGTATTTTTAGATATGCCATGACACTGTGAAATCAGAAAAAAAAATATAAAAATTCTTGCCCTCAATTCAATTGATATTCATAAAGAAATTATTGAGGAATGAAAAAAATTTTTACCTTAACTACCTCACAACCAACTTAAATGTGGCAGAGATTTATCTAAGAATTGCACTTTGGTTAAGAACACTGGCTATTCTTGCACAGGACCCCAGTTTGGTTCCCCCCAACACATCAGATGGCTCATAGCCACCTGTAACTCAAGTTTCAGGGGCCTCAATGTCCCCTCTGGCCTTCAGAGGCACATGCATCTATATGGTGCACATATATACTCAGACACACACACATTTACACACGATAAAATAAGTCTTAAAAAGTACAGAATCAGAAAAAAAATCTATTGATACATCAGTAAAAAGCCTTTCTAGTGTTGCATAAAAACACAAACATTTATCTTTCATTTCATTTATTCACTAGGGAAACTACTTACCCCCCCCCCCCATGACTCGCTTGTCTCAACTGTGAAATGGGGACAGTGACACACTACTTAGGGCTGTCACATTAAATAAAGTAAGTAGAGCACTCGCTGTGTTCCCAGCACATGACATCCCCTCCCTTCTTCCCTCTCTACGCGACCTGCCTGGGCCTAAGCATAAACAGGAGTGAGGGACTCCAACTAAGAATGCAGATCATTTGAACTCTGCACGGAAGAAAGCACAGTTACACTACACAGTAGCTCTCTTCTTTATATTTGCATTTGCACGGCATACACTCTTGAAAATAACTCTGCACAGCAGCGACCTTCAGGACCCGTCTTCACATTCGTCGGAGCTGTCATCACTGGCATCCTCACTGCTCTCTGCTTCACTCTCGCTACTAGTGTCTTCCTCGCTATCCTCTTCATCTTCCTCATGCTTCTGAGATTTCTCTGTCACGGGAAGGAGACAGGTGCTAATTATGGTTCCCGGTGTTCCCGCTCTCCAAAAACCCTTACACCTCAACTCTCTTTTCCATGAAGTACATGTTTGGAGGAATAGAAAAATTGAACCTAACTTGGTGTAGGATCAAGATAGAACAAGAAAGTCAACAGATTTATGTTGGCCAGCAGATAAATGTTTGTGGGTTCAAAATTAACTTGCAACACAGGTCTAAAAATAACGTTTACTATTGTCAGTGAAATCCTTAAATAGCCATGCATGATCCCAGAACTCAAAAAGATGAGGCAGGGAGATTATGAATCAGGGTTATTCTTCAGACTCTGTCTAAAAAAACGAACCAACCAAACTTTGTAAAAAGTTACAGAAATTCTGAAATAAGAATACGTAGGGCAATTTAGAGCGTCCTGACATCACTGGAAATCTCGAGACACACAGAACACTAACACATGGGCATGGTTCCATGTTCTGCCTTTTCCATGTTCAAGGGAGCTGGATTTATTTGGCCAGTTCCACTCCGTGTAGGGAATGGGGGATTCATCTCTTCCATTCTCAGAGACAAGCTGGTTTTACACCACTCAAGAGAGTCATTAAGACTAGTGGTTCTCAACCTGTGGGCCACAACACATCAGAGGGTTGAACAACCTTTCACAGGGGCTGCATATCAGATAGTTCTCATATATCAGATATTTACATTACAATTCATAACAGTAACAAAATTACAGTTAGGAAGTATCAATGAGAATAATCTCATGGTTGGCAGGATCACCACAACAAGAATTGTATTAAAGGGTGAAAGCATCAGAAAGGTTGAGAGCCACTGATTCAGACATTCCTTAATATTTCCTGAAGAAATATTTTCACAATCTCTCATAACAGTCTTTAAAAAAAACACTGTTTACAGTTCTTTGAGGAAAAAAAATGTCAAATTTTAAAATTACCCTTTAGTAGTATTTCTTCAATAAGTGAGAAAAATTCCTTGGCCACAGGATTTTCTGGTTCATAGATTAGGACTGAAAACAGAATACATGTTATTTGTTAGTATGTACTAGCCTGCCTTTGGAGTTCTGACAGGATCCACCCTCAGCTGCTGCCATCTGTGCAATTCACCGTGTCCCCTTTTACAAGGGCCCTGCTCACCTTCTCCCTCCCTCCCTTTCTCCCTCCCTCCCTCCCTCCTTCCCTTCCTCTCTCTTCCTCTCTCCCTCCTTCCCTTCCTCTCTTCCTCTCTCCCTCCCTCCCTCCTTCCCTCTGTCTGTTACTCTTTCTGTCTCTCTCCCTGCTGCTCCTGTTCCAGAGGCCATTCTTCCCATTCCCTTCCCCATTTTTATGATCCCTATTCCCTAATTAAAAAAAAAAAAATCTTCTGTCACTTGGCATCTTTCTCTCTCTAGCCACTTTTTTTTTTTAAAAATTGCATCATTATTAATATCTAGTGTTGGAGCGAACAGCCTTTTAGAGTAAAACTGACTGAAACTGTCAATCAGAGCAGGCAAAAATAAAACAAACAAACAAACAAAACTAAAATACCAAAAACAAAAACCTTCCACAATTCTATTGCAGGTACATCTAAGCACAAAGAAAACTCTCCACCTACATGTGGTGTTTTATAAGATAAATGATGCTCTCTGTACTTTCCACCTCCTATCCAAAGAACACAGTCTCCTCCTTTCCCAGGCCAGTGATGGAAGGATTTGTGAGAATCAAGTTCTCCAAAGGGCAATAGTTTCCAAACTTGGAGACTTGGGTGATGAGAAGAAAACGTCCCTAGAGGTCTGCTATCTCCTCCCAATCTCATCTACCCATTGTCTGTGTGGCAGTGTCTACATCAAGGTCCCATCTGTCCCCAGCCACTGCCTTTTGCTGATCCTTGCTGTAACTGTGTTGCTTCCTTTGGACTACTTTTTTGGGGGGAGGGGGAGGCTTGTTGATATGCTACCAATATTCTAGAGGTCAGAGTTTCCTTTCAGTCACCTATTTTTTTTTTTTCAAAACCCCTACTGACCACCCTCTTCTTTTTCCACCTGCCTTGAGGAGTACTCCGTGTTCTGGCCACACACCCACTCCACTCTCCACAGTATCCCGGTGACCCCCAGGGGGCGCAAAAACACCAAGCGTGCTAACTGTGGATGTTCAAGGCTCCCTAGGAAATGGTCCCTTGGCCTTTGCCTCCATTCACCACACCAGGGACTACTTCTGACTCCACTAAATGTGATGAGCATTTATCATCAGTCTGAGTTGGACTATGTGTCTGCTCAAAAGTCCCTTTCAAGGACTTTAGGTGTCTTCAGAACCAACATGTTGTTGTAAAAGTACTTTTTTCTATACTTTAAGTTAGACTAAAATATGCTTATCATTAGTCTAAATGTGTGAAGCAAGCCTCTTTGAAGAACAGTTCCTCTGATTTGCTCCTTTACACACCCATTTGCCAAACAAGGTCAAATACAGTTATCAAGGTAAAATTTACATGGAATAGCAGCCACAGGGATCAGTGGACTGGCTAACAATTCTTAGAAGCCTTTAGAAAATTTCCCGTCAGAACTAGGATTATCTCACGGGATCAGATATGAGGTTAACTATTCCTGTGGTTCAGCCTGGCTGCCCCAGCTGTCAGTCTTCAGAGAGTGGCAGCAGCTTTAATGCTTGGCCAGCAATGCCTAGTTTAGTGTTCTAGCTATCAGCATTGCCTAGTTTAGTGTTCTAGCTATCTTTACTCTGAGAGTGACTAAAAGGGTCTGTGAAGAGTTGAGGGAATTTCTAGTATTTGTATTAGAGGTTGTTTACTAACATGGACCTCTGTAAGGGAAACAGAGCCCATTTGAGCCCCTGGGAAAGAAAGAGCCCCACAGGGAATGCTTCAGGGTCCTGGGTTTTTTTAGATTTATTTATTTATTATGTATACAGTTGTTCAGGAATGTATGTATTATGTATACTGTGTTCTGCCTGCATGTATCCCTGCAGGCCAGAAGAGGGCACCAGATCTCATTACAGATGGTTGTGAGCCACCTTGTGGTTGCTGGGAATTGAATTCAGGACCTCTGGAAGAGCAGCTGTACTCTTAACCTCTGAGTCATCTCTCCAGGCCCTCCCTGGATAGTTTTAACAGCAGACTGGACATAGGGAAGAAGGGTAAGTAAGTTTAAAAAACAAATGCGTCAATAGAAAGGTGCCTAAGACAAAGCACAGAAGTAAAATCTTAAACTTCGAGCTGAGTGTAAAAGGCATGTCAGGCACCATTTAAACAGTTTGTTGTTGTTTGCCTCTAACTAGAGACCCAGGAAAAGGGGCTCAAGCAACTAGGGCAGAAGTGGAATGTGAAAAGGTAACAACCAAGCAAATCTGAACTTGATGAAACTGTCAAATACAGATTTAAGAAACTCAACAAAGCACCCACTGCTTAAACACAAAGAAAACCACAAATAATTCTAACCACCTAACACCAGATAGAAAGATAAGGTCAACCAGCTAGCTATCTCCTCTGATCAAAAGCCTCCCGCCTACCACAGGGCAAAACAAGGCCCTTCAGCTGGGGAAAGGCCTGTGCCGCCCACCCAGTCCTGTGCCATGTCATGTCTCCAGCCTCATAGGCTAGCACCTGCCTCTGGCCCTGTCTGATCCACACAGGTTTCTGATGGCTGCCTTCAGGCACCTTCCCTCTCAGTACACCTGTACTTCAGCCTGCTCTGCACCCTATTCCTCCAGATGCCCACAGGCTGCCTCCCTACAGTTCAGTTCTGTCCTAAAGTGAGTCCTTCCAGGTCATTCTATGGAGACTGCCGACCACCTAGTATCTTCCCGTCCTCTTTCCTACTTCCGTTTTCTCCATAGCACGCACCCATCATTCATGACACAACAATCACTTATCAGTTTATTTTCTGTCCAATGCCAGACCCGACTGTGGGAGTGCTGAAACTTGGCAGCACAAGGGACTTTGTACTTCCTATGTCATGATGATTCTGTTTTCCGGGACAGTGACCAGCCTATTAATCTACTTTGCTTTAACACATAAAATGGAGCCCCAGTGAGTCCATAGATACCTGAACTCATTTACCCTATGGGATCCCTGAGACAGCAGCAGAGACTTCACTGGACTAGGACAGTCAACCTACATTCATATTATGGGATCTGTTTCTATATACAAAGGGAAAGCTGGAGGTTGTGAGTGTTTGCTTGGTACTTACTCATCTGACATAACTTTTTTGCCAGCTGGTAGTCTCGGCCCATTTCTGCCCTCAGGAACTGGAAAGCAAACTCTTCAGATAAGTGGTTTCAAGACAGAATTTAAATGTCAATTACAATAAACTCCCTAAAAATACTGATTAATGATGAGTTAGTCTGATTTGGGGGAGGAAGACAGGGTTTCTCTGTGTAGCCCTGGCTTGTCCTCGAACTCACAGAGTGCTGGGGTTAAAGGTGTATGTGTGCCATACATTCTGTATTTAACACACATTTCTCCATGAGTTAGTCTGCAGTCAGTCAACTAACCACACATTTTGCTTGTGCATGCTTACCAAGTAGGAATTTTATAAACTAAATAAATATATTCTGTCCATAACTGAAAATACTTCTAATATATAGCGATTTAATTATTTTTTTTAAACATTTCCATATATTTTTTAAAAAGCATTTTATTTTATGTGCACAACATTTTGTCTGCACGTATATATGTGTACCGCATGCTTGCCCATGGAGGTTAGAAGAGGGCATCACCCTAGGACTGGAGTTACAGATGGGTGTGAGCAGCCATGTGGGTGCTGGGAACCAAACTCAGATCGTCTATAAGTGCAGCCAGTGCTTTTAACCCATCAGCCAACAATTCAGGAATTTTAAAAATAAATGATCCTTTATGTACATATGTATTGACATTATCCAGAAACCTTAAAAAAAAAAGTTCCACAATTTGTGATCACTCCCCCCTAGGGCACCAAATAGTCTATTTGCTGGGAATTTGGAGCAGGGGGTTGACTCAGGGCCTTGTATACACTAAGCACATGCTCTACGACTGAGCTGACATGCCATCCCTGAATAGTGTCTTGGAAGTTTTACTTAGAGTATATTTTTCTTGAACATTATTGTATTGTTATATCTTTAGATCGTTTCCAATAAACGAAACACCTAATATTTGACGGCTATCTGTATGAGGCAGCTTTTGAATTATACCAGTCCAGGTATCTGGTCTACAAGAGCCAGGTCCCTCGAGAAACGATGAGACACTTTTCACTTCCAGACTTGGGAAAAAGAACTACTTACCAATTTAAGAAGCAGTTCTTTAGCATTTTTCTCAATCCCACCCTACAACTTTTAAACATTTTTTTCCCCCTAGGCTGGTAATATGGCTCAGTTGGTAAAGGTGCTTGTTGCCAAGCCTGATGGTCTAAATTGGATCTCCAGGACCCACACGGTAGTAAAAGGTAGGGAACTGACTCCACATTCCTCATTTCCTTACATGTCAACAAATACCCTGTCTACTCATGCAATAGAATTCTTACTTTAAAAATCTCTATTCTTATCCAAGGTTTTGATTAATTTAATTTTGCTTTTATTGTATGGGGATATGTAAGTGTCTGCATGTATGTGTGCCCACAGAGGCCAGAACTGGGTATCAGAACCCCTGGAAGTTACAGGCAGTTGTGAGCTGCCAGGTGGGTATACACACATAGGAACCAAACTCAGATCTTCAGCAGAATCAATAAGTGCTCTTAACTGCTGAGCCATCTCTCCAGCCCCAACATTTTTATTGTATATGTAGCTATATTTTATTTTTTAACTTCTTTTTTGAGATGAGATCTCAAGTACCCAGGCTAGCCCCACACTCTGTAACAGGATAAGTGAATCCTTACTCTTAACTATGATATGCATTGGTTTATCTGTACATTTTCAAATATATGCAGAATTTTGATATACTTTTAACTAGCTTCTTCAGCTCTGGTTTTGTAATTTTTCCAGGTTCTGATGTTAATGTCTAGTTTTCTTCCTTGAATCTTCATATACTTTTAACTGCCATTGAAGCATCTGTAACTAAGTTCTGGGGGGTGTCACAGAGGGCTCAGTGGTTACTTGTGCTTGTGTCACAAGCATAAGGGCCAGGGTTCTCATCCAAGCACTTATGAAAGAAGCCATGAGTTCTGTGCACACCTGTGACCTTGGCTTTGGGTGTGAATGGGGTGAGAGGGAGAAGAGAGGATCTCTGGGGCTTTCTGGCTTCCAGCCTAGTCAAGAAGATGCAAGCTCTAGGTCTAGGGAGATTGGTACCTCAAAGAAATAAGCTAATTTAAAATAATTAATATATACTAATTAAACAATTGATTTAAACTTGTTAATAAATTACTAAATATATTAATAATTAATTTACTCTACCTAATAACATAATATCCTGTTTAATTACTTTGGTATTTATAGGCTTCTTCCTTTTTTTGGATTTTTTGAGACAGGGTTTCTCTCTGTAACAGTCTTAGCTGTCCTGGATCTCATGCTGTAGACCAGCCTGGTCTCTAACTTGCAGAGATCCACCTGCCTCTGCCTCCCAAGTGTTGTATGCTTCTTTAGTTATAAGACACACGCAAGAACTTACTTCTGCCATTAACTCTAGTGGGGCGCGAGTCTCCTTTTTAGTGGGAACTTCATCATCTTCATCGTTGGTGTCATCATCACCATCGTCGTCTGTCGAATCCGACAGCTTCTCCTCAAGGTCCTGAAGACAATGCTCACTATTTCTCTCTTGCTTGGCAAGGACTGCATCCTTGACTGCTTCACCTTAAACAGAGCACACGTAACCAATAAACAATGTAAAGCTTAATTAGATGTTAGATCAGACCAGATCCTATTAGCATCTATGAAGCCAATAAATCAATAAAAGCAATCAGCTACAAAGACTGCTCCCATCTGTGCACACATTAGTTCATTTATTTCTGTCAACATCCCATCTTCCCAGTGAGATGGGTAGTGTTTCTTTCCTTTCCTTCTTTATAATTTTCCTTGTTATTGTTCTTTAAAATGGTTCCTTTTATTTTATGTGCACTGGTGTTTTGTCTGCATTCATGTCTGTGTGAGGATGTTGGATCCCCTAGAACTGTAGTTATAGACAGTTAAGAGCTGCTATGTGGATGCTGGGAATTGAACCTGGGTCCTCTGGAAAAGCAGCCAGTGTTCTTACCCACTGAGCCATCTCTCCAGCTGGGTAGTATTTCTATTCCGATTTACTAATGAACAAAGAGGGCAAAAAGATGAAACAACCCCTATTCAAGTTCATGTAGCAATCCCACTTTGGGAGTCAGTCTGACTAGAACTGATACTTTAAATTACATTCTATATTATTCTTTCCTAAAATACATCAAAATGTACCATTAGGGCAATTAAAAAGAGTATTTACTTTGCTTTTATCTAATGTGCCCCTGTGGGTAGCACTATGTAGTATCCCTTTGGCTTTGTGTGGTCTTTCATATTTTCAGACTGAACTAATTAGACTCAGCCCCTTGTCAAAGGATTGTATCTGTGGAGTCTCTTCATCAATGAGACCATGGCTGTGAGGTACTCTAGACAATGTATAAACACTTATTTAGAAGAGAAGAAGATGACTTTCAGGAAAGAGCACCAAAGAAAGGCTGTAAAGACACAGACCAGAAACAAAGTATAAAACCAACTCTAAACCAAACATGCCAGCCTGAAACATGTCGCTAGCTCTTCTGGAGTACCCATCTACCTGCTTTTTTCTCATCCACAGTCTCCATGGAATCGAAACCTCCTGCCTCTCCAGAGCACACCTGGTCTCTGCACCACCTCACCATACTGATGTCATCAAAGGAAGGTCATAATGGGTGGGCAAGAACATCCTGCGACATCACAGGGATGGACCCATTCAACTCACAGACACTCAGCATTGTGAAGAGGTTCCCTAATCTCTTGGTCCAAAGTATTCTCTCCTGGGTGCTGTTCATTTCACTGTGGCCTCTCTTATAGCCTCAAATTACCTTTCATGTTGGTGTTTCATATTGGTGTTTCAAATTTTTATTTTTGAAGTGATTGATAAAAATTGCATTCAGTTGAGCATGGTGGTGTACATCTTTAATCCCTGCACTCAGGAGGCAGATCTCCAGTTCCACCCACATGGTAAATGACAGAATGTTATTTCATTTCAGTGTCTAAACTATTCCTTTCTGTAAGTAAGCCACATCTTATGTATCCATTCTTCAACAGATGGGCACTTTCTTTTAAAGAACTGGCCAACTATCTCCCTGTAGAACGTGAACTTCCTAAGGAAAGGTCAGTGTCTGCTTTGTCAACTGTATCCGGATTTTAAGCTGGTACCAGCACTCTGGCTTGGAAAGCTGTGCTAGTGTTTTAATCCGTTCTAGGATTTATAATACCCTGTAATGACCATCTTATATAATGTTTATTCACAGATGCCTATCTGGCTGCATATCAAATAACCCAGTATACTGAGTTTGAACAATTGCTGCTTCCTTTGACCCACCTTAGAGTGACAGTGAGGTCAACTTATGTCCAAAAGGTCATGTACAGTCAGGCCATCATTATTTAGTCCAGTAAGACGTGCTATTTGTTACCTGCACTTTCTTTTAGGAAGGAAGACAACCACAGGTCAGACTGCCGATTTGTTAAGACATCCTTATTTTCAATACTCCTGGAAGATGGTCTGTTTTCAATACTTTTTGAAGAGACTTTATCTTCTATCTTCTTTGAAGAGGCTTCTTTTCTAACCATTAAAGCAGACAGTGAAACATCTGGTCAGGCATAGTGCTGTTCAGTGTTCAAATGTTAATAAAACACACCCATGCCTACCATATTTCAAAGAAAACCATAATATACCAAACATGGACTTAAATAGAATGTTGTCTCTTTGGAAAATATAATTTTCATTGCTCATGAAAATCTATTTCTGCTTGGCACTTATTATTGTACAACAATTTATAGGATCTTTTCAGAGTACCAATGAAGAGCATGGAAGAGAATCACTTTCAGAAATGCTTTCCGTTCATCTCGATGTGTAGCGACATAAAACCACTTAAGGAAGTAGGCCTTGAATGGTTTAAAAGAAAAATGTAAATAGATGCCTGCTCTTGCCAAGTGCTATGCTTTTAGTGAGGTTTCAGCACTAATAGTAACCCCACAGTCATAAAACAGCCTCTTTAGCTTTTACATCTGAAACTTCATGCCAAAAAAACAGCACATGGAGACAAGGCATTCTGAATACAGCACTCTAGTCACCGAGAAGCACACCTGTGCTTGTGAGAAAATCACCCAATCCCTTTTCAGAGGGGTTAAGAATCTTCCAGTCTGTCTCTTTTGCAAACTTTAAAATAAAATTTGCATGGAAAAATACAAAGATAAAGTATAATTTTGCCCTCTAAAATCATGCCCCTTAAGGACTTAAGTCTAAGAGTCATCTATCTTGGGTCCTATTCTCCTCTCTCTCTCTCTCTCTCTCTCTCTCCCTCTCTGTCTCTCTCTCTCCCCGTCTCTCTCTCTCTCCCTCTCCCTCCCTCTCTCTCTCCTCTCCACTTCTTTCTTTGCACGTGTTATATGTGTGGGCATATATTATGGCATGTCAGAGGACAACTTGTAGGAACTGGTTTTCTCCTTCTACCAGGAGGGTCCTGGGGATCAAAATCAAGAAATCAGGCTGTGTGCTAGGCTCCTTTTTACCCTCTTGCTAGCCCTAGGGTTATGACTTTACAACTGGTTTGATTGGCTTGTTATATTCCTTAGAAGAGGCAAGAATGGAGCCTTTACTTCCCCAGGACTAAGCTATCTCATTCTTGGCTGTTTACCCAGATGATTCTAAGCCATCAAACCCCAGAGATACTCAAAGTCCATGTTGATTTGTCACTCCCTGCACTATTGACCATAGTCAAGGAGTGGAACCAATACTCATCAATGGATGTGTGATGGTTTGAATGAGAATGGCCCCTATGGACAGAAACAACAACATTGCTAAAATGAAAGTCATTGTTGTTTCTGTCCATAGGGGTCATTCTCATTCAAACCATCACACATCACTTCCTCTTTCCTCCTTGTCTCCTAGTCCCTCCTATCTTGCTTTCCTATTGGCCAACAGTGCTTTATTCATTAACCAGTATGAGAAACATATATACATAATGGCATCTCCCATCAATGGACTCATATGCTTGAATGTTTGGTTCCCAGTTAGAGGAATTGTTTGAGAAGGATTAGGAGTTGTGGCCCTGTTTGGGTTGTGCCATTGAAGACAGACTCTACGGTTTCTATAGCCCATGCTAAGCCCAGTCTTGCTTTCTCTCTCTGCCTGCAACTTGTGGATCAGATATGAGCTCTAGCTCCAGCTCCAGTGCCATTCTGGCCTGCCTGCTGCTATGCTACCCCTATAATGTGGTCATGGGCTCACCCTCTTACATTGTAAGCAAGCCTCCAACGAAGTGCTTTCTTTCCTAAGTTGCCATGGTCATGGTGTTTCATCATAGCAATTGTAAACCTAACTAAGACAGGATGAACAGATAAAGGAAATACATGGTGCATATACACAATGAAATCTTATGCACCATCAAGCCTGGCATGGTGGCATGTATACCTTTAATCTTAGCATTTGAGAGACAGAGGCAGACGAAGGCCAGCCTGGTATACAGAGTGAGTTCCAAGACAGGTAGGACTACACAGAGAAACCCTGTCTCAAAAAACAAAACAAAAGTTATGTAGCAGCTGAGAGGTAGTGGCACATGCCTTTAATCCCAGTACTCGAGAGGTAGAGGCAGGCAAATCTCTGAGTTTGAGGCCAGCTTGGTCTCCAAAGCAAGTTCTAGGATAGCCAAGGCTACGCAGAGAAACTCTGTCTCAAAAAACTAAAGCAAGTTAGTAAATAAATAGGTAAGTTATGTCATTCAAGAAAAATGAAATCATAACATTTGTAGGAGAATGGTTGCATTGAAAGTCATTGTGTTAACGGAAATAAGCCAGAATCAGAAAGACAGATACTGCATGTTTTCTCTCAGATGCAGAACCCAAGTTTAAAATGTGTGTGTGTGTGTGTGTATGTGTGTGCATGTGTGTGTGTGTATTTGTGTGCATGTGTGTATGCATGTGTGTGTGTATTTGTGTGCATGTGTGTGCATGTGGGTGTATGTGTGCATGTGTATGTATGTATGTGTGTGTATATGTATGTGCGTGTGCATGTGTGTACATGTGTATGTGTGTGTGCATGTGTGTGTTTATTCATGTATTTATAGATTATGAAATTAGAAGGGGAAGAAAGCAACCTCAAGAGTAGTAGGAAATAGAGTAATAAAACGTACCGCAAATTCTAGCTGGTCTTAATAGTAAAAACTCAGAGTTAGATATTGGGGTTCAAGCTGAAGATGAGAGAAGCAAAGCAGCCAGCTACTAGACAGTTCTCACTGCTACCAATGCTCAGACTGAAGGGCCAGGTGGTCCACCAACCCTCACACTGTTCCCAACTGCACTGATGCTCCGAGACTGCCATGAGCTCCCGTCTCCTCCCGACTTATACTCCTCTCTCCACCCAATCCTATCACTCCTGTCTCCACCTCCCTAGTGCCGGAATTAAAGATGTGAGCTGTTTCTCTTTTAGATGGATTCACTCTCCTGCAGCCCTGCGTGGCCTTGAACTCACAGAGATCCATCTGTCTCTGTGTCCTGAGTGCTGGGATTAAAGGTGTGCACCACCACTGCCCAGCTTCTGTGGCTGTGGCTACCTTTGCATTCTGATCTCCAGGCAAGCTTTATTTGTTATATCATAAACAATGTATCACCACAAAAATTCATGGAAAAGAACAGCAGAAAGGGAGGCTGACTGGGGGAAAGAAAGGGAATTAAGTGAGAGGTGGCCATGAGAAAGGGGAACAAACTATGACACATGCAAGAAGACGCCATGACAAAACCTCATACTTTGTGCACTAACTAAAAAATTCCTCCAAAAAGAGATAAAAATGACAGCAGAGACCAACGAACACACACTCTTCTCTAGACATGAAGAAGGCAAGGGAAGGTGGATTTATGTTTGTTCAGCTTCTGACCCTTTAGCCTTCTAATTATATCGGAGCATCCATCAAGAAACTTGATAGTGAGAACTTACTTGAAGCCCTCCCTTTCCTGGGATAACAGGAGTGTTGCTAAGATGCCATAACACTGATCACGAGAATTTAGTCTAGGAAAAGGGCTTTCATGCCCTTTTCTTTACTAAATGAGAGTATTTTGTTGACTCTTAGATGCCATTATTATAAGACACTGTTTTATGTACCATCAAGAAAAGAAAGACATTGCTAAAGCTGGTGTTAACTGAAATCAACAAGTCAGTCTGATTCTGTGCAGCAGGATGCTGGCACATCCACGGATTTACATACCTGAGGAGGGGCGTTAACCAGCACAGCTCTGAGGACTGAGTAGTTCAAAGTGCTCTCATTAACCCTAAACACTTATGGAGGCAGGTGACAAGTTCACTGTCCTGTGCCTGCATGGAATGCTACTGTTGCAAGCAGCAACCATGCTAACAACACTCAAGACCAAACCGACCTGAGAACTGACCCAACCAGGAGTTTGTCAGTAAAGCACGAAGCCCCGTTCTTCTCACTTCCTGTGGGGTCCACAGTGCAGACATTCAAAGAATCAGGTGCCAGAAATGCAACCTTTTCTCCAATTGAACTTACTGACTTTAGCCAGGTGTGATGGCTCATGCCACAAGGGAGGCAGAGGCAGATGGATTTCTATGAGTTGGAGGACAGCCTGGTCTACAGAGTGAGTTCCAGGACAACCTGTCTCAAAAACAAAGAACCAAACAAGCAAACAACACCCCCTCAAAAACAACACCCCCTACTGACTTCGTTTTGAGAAGAAAATGATGTTCATGGTAATAAGGACTCTAATTACTTAAGAAAACAGTTGATAATCTCATTGGCTTCAAAACAGCAATAACAAAGTAAAGATTCCAAATTTTACTAAAGGAAAGATTTCAAATTTTACTGTATGTACACAGAAGTTATTTAATTAAGTAGTTTTGAAAGCTTGGGGGGGGTAGAAATTCTAAGTTTTAGCATTTTCCTTAATTTATAAGGACTATTCTGCATATTCAGGAGATGTTCCACAATTGTTACTAGTTGTGCCTTCAGAAAACTTACAATTTAAATTTTGTCTTAAGTGGTTTATAATAATCAACCATGGTTTAAATCTTACTTTGCTGAGAATGTATTAGCCACACCCAGGGAGATCTGTGTTGGGGAACTATAAAGGTTGCTCGCCAATCTCGGTCTTCGTACAAAGCAGCATTTTCTTAAAAGTGAGGCAGAAAGGAAAAACAAAACAAACAAACAAAACAAAAACAAAAAAACAGCTTAGCATTCATTTTATAAAAGGTTATATAGCATACGGCCATTATATAACAAACACCCACAGATACCGTTTCTTCAACTGTGGGTTTGCTGCAGCCATGTCCCCTGTATCTGGGACAGGAGTGAAGACTGGGAACAAGGGTAGGAAGAGAGACAGTCTCTAACCTAGCACAAGTGGGGCCTTTACTTAACCAAATCTGTCCTGCCAGTCAGTGGGAAGAGCCAACAATGGGATGAAAGTGGCTGGAAAGCCCCACTGAGAAATTCACACAGTTTGCAGGAGTCAATTCTCTGAGCCATGGTCAGTTTTCTATTTTACTATGACTTGTCTTCAAACACTAACCCCCTTTACCTTCACCTTTGTTAAGGGGCCTGGGAGGTAACATCACCCATCTGTGAAGCTCACAGGCTGAATTTACCCAGCCTTGCTCTTGTCCCTCAATGAGCACAGGGAAACCTGGCCAGACTGTTCTTACAAAAGGTAGTTTCATAGTCAAATGCAATGGGGACCGAGAGACATGTCCTTCCGCTTTTCTTTCTGGGTCCAAGCTGCAGTGACCTGGGCTGCACCTCCCTCCGGGTTTGGATCGCCTCTGCTGGATTTCACCCCTGCTCAGCACCGCTCAGCTATGAACATTGGCTGTGATGGTTAGGGCCTTCTACAGCACTAAGGCAACAAACTCCGGAGTGTCAATTTGACAGGCTCTATATCACCTAGGAGACAATCTTCTGGGCTCACTTAGGAGGGAGTTAACAGATTGAGTTACCTGAGGTAAAAAGAGCTATTATATATGAGCAGCACCATTACATGGGCTGGATCTCAGGCCTTAATAAAAAGGAGAAAGCAAGCTAGCACCGCATTCATCGTCTGGCTGCATGAAGTTCGACTAGCCACCTCACGTTCCTGCTGCCACGCCTCCTCCTTAGCCATGATGCAATGTATTTAACTGTGGTACAGAATAAACCCTCTCTTACTTAAGTTGCTTTGTCAGGTATTTATTTTGTCACAGCAACCAGAAAAGCAACCAATGCAGCAGGGCTCATGGACACAACACTCACTTATTTCCACCAATGAATGACCTGTTAACCACCATTACCACTGAACATCACATCCCATGCTTTTTGAGTATGCTTTCAGCTATGTGATACAGGAAAATATAGAATTATGTTTATGTAGATGTAAATACTTTATACGGATTTTTCCCCTGGTGTACTGTAACTTTAATTTGAAACAAATGTAAGTCTTCTGACATTGTTCTGTTACATAATACTTTCTCTTTGATACAAAGTATACAGGGTGGTGAGATGGCACAGCCATAAAGCCACTCCCTGCCAAGCCTGATGACCCGAGTTTAAGCCCCAGGACCTACATGATAAGAGGAGAGACTCAACTACTGGTTGAACAGTCTCCTGCCCTTCACAAATGTGGCTCATGTCACTCCCTACATAAATATAAGTTGGGCTTTATTGTTTTTATTATTATTATTATTATTATTATTATTATTATTATTATTATTATTATTTCCAAGACAAGAGTTTCTCTGTGTAGCCTTGGCTCTCCTAGAACTCCATCTGTAGACAAGACTGGCCTTGAACTCAGATCTACCTGCTTTTGCTTCCTGGGTGCTGGAATTAAAGGTGTTCGGCACCATGCCCATTCAAGATTTTTCTAAGTATTGTATTTATATGATATATAAAGTTTGCAAGAAAACTGAAAATGTCTATTTTAGCTACTACAATATGGAAATTAAAATATACGCGGAGTAGAATTTTTCTCAGCCAATAATGTTCAAGATGAACTAGGATCTCAGGCATGATAGAGAATGTATCTACAGCTCCCAGGAGCTATGTTCATAAAACCCCAATCACAGGGGTCTACTAAGACCATCTTCATATCGGATATTTATGTTACAATGTACAACAGCAGCAAAATTACAGTTATGAAGCAGCAATGAAAGTAATATTATGATTGGGAGTCACCACAAGAGGAACTGTATTAAGGGGTTGCAATATTAGGAAGATTGAGGACCACTGATACATATGAATTCCTGGGCGTTGTTTCTCTCCTTCACCATGTCAGTCTTGGGAACTGAACTGAGATGGTCAGGCTTGGCACAGGCACTTTTTTTTTTTTTTCATTTTATTTTATGTATGGGTGCTTTGCCTGCAAGAGTTTGTGTACCATATATGTGCAGTGCCCCAAAAGGCCAGAAGAGGCGTTGGATTTCCTGGGACTGGAGTTACAGATGTTTGTGTGCCAACATGTGGCTGCTGGAACTTGGGCCCTCTGGAAGAGGTTCTTAGCTGCTGAGCCATCTCTCTCTGGCCCTTTTATGTTTTAAGATCCATATTTAAGGTGTAATTTTTCATGGAATAAATATTATATTTCCCCCAGAAGCTAGGAAATGATTGTATTGTGAAGGACTTTAATCAAGTATTGCATGTTGTGAATGAAGCTAATTAATACTCAATTGATATACACTGTGATTTTCAAATACCAGTGTCTTCAACTACTCAAGGTGATTTTTTTCTCTTTATGTAGGACTAACAATGCATGTTAAATGAACTGAGAATACTAATTTTAAAGTAAGTATTCACTCACAGAGATGATCTAAAGAAGGAAGCAGTATTAAAGGAAACAGGAAAGAGCAGTGGAAATTAAACAAATAAAAGACAGCATAGCCCTCCATCTAAGAATAGGCAGACGTGATTATCACCTATATTTCACTTTTATTACAGTTCAGGTTTCTTCTTCTTCTTCTTCTTTTTTTTTTTTTTTCTTTTTTTCTTTTTGGTTTTTTGAGACAGGGTTCCTGTGGCTTTGGAGCCTGTTCTGGAACTAGCTCTGTAGAGCAGGCTAGTCTCAAACTCACAGAGATCCACCTGCTTCTGCCTCCCCAGTGCTGGGATTAAAGATGTATGCCACCAACACCCAGATTCAGTTTTTTCTTAAATCTCTCTACTCAAGTAACAACTGAAGCCCACCCATGCACATCGACTTCGCAAGTTTAATTAGGTGACAAATGGTTTGCATTAACTACTTCTAATTATTTAAAAGGCAAGGCCAAAGACATTTTCTTACTGTGACATTGCTTTATTTGGGTCAATCACTTTTTCTGAAAGAGAAGAAAAAATGTTTAGTTTTTTTTCAACAGTGCTATCTTTAACATAAAATTTTAATTGAGAAATAGTTAAGTTTTTTTTTCAAAGATAGATAACACATGATTTACAAGATTTACTGTTGAGTCATACAACCACATCTAACCATTTCAATAATCTTCTTAACTAATATTCAGAACAAGATCATGGTCAAACACATTCTAAGAAATAAATCATTTACCCTTTGGATCAAATACTAGCAATGTGCCATTCTGTCTGCTCTTTGGTGCCTAAAATAGAAGCAGGAAGGAAAACTAGAATTATCATTATTATTTTAGTTTGAAGTATTTGGAAAAAGTATATTAAGAGTCCTTAGGGTAAATATTTCTGTTGTGTAATAAATACTAAAGCCAATTATTTTTAAACTTTATAAACCACTGTTAAGCTGACCCAAAGCATTCTAAAAACAAAACAAAAACCAACAAGAACAAAACCTCCAACATTATACATTTTATTTATTTATTTTTGAGACAAGGCATATTTGTTCATCTATGGCTGGCCTTGAGATTACTATGTAGCCACGAATGACCTTGAACTTTTGATATTTTTGCTTTCACCACCTATGAGTTGAGGTAGAGAAATGGCTCAGCCGTTAAAAGGGTAGGCACATAACCAGAAACTCCAAGGGCAAGGATGACGGGCTTGTGCCACCACGCCCACTTTAGGGAAGCTGGGGCTGAAAGCAGGGTTTCCTGTTTGCATGCTAGGCAATCACTAAACCAACTGAACTACATCCAGCCCTGTATCCTTTACCTTTATAACATCTTTCTTGTCTAGGTAGTTTCTGCAAAAGAAAGGAACAGATATTTAGTTTGTAAATTTCTAAATACTTGTATAAATGTAAACACAAATGTAACAAAACACAGAAGTTAGCAGGCTGTTAAGCATGGATCTATCTGGGCTAAGAAATGAAGTTATAAGCCTAGAGCGCAGTTCTCAACATGTGGGTCATGACCCCTTTGGGGATGGAATGACCCTTTCACAGGGGTCTACTAAGACCACTGGAAAACACAGATACTAGCATTACAATTCATAATAGTAGCAAAATTACAGTTATGAATTAGCAACAAAATTAATGTTATGGTTGGGGTCACTACAACATGGGGAACTGTATTAAAGGGTCATAGCAATAGGAAGGTCTAGAGCCACCAGTCTAGAAAAACCAGCTCTTGTCTTTTCTTCCCTTGGAGTCCATGTAAACAGAGCTGCAGAAATGATTCTGCATGGGACAGTGGTGTTATGTTGGACAATGCCCTAGTTCTGCTACCTTTTTAGTTCATTATCTTGGATTCCAGGTCTAGACTGAAATACAGTCAATAGTAGGCCTAAGACACCCCTCCCAAGGAGCTGACCCTGCAAATCATAACTTTATTTCAGCTTGCATTTACAATTCTCTCCCCAACTTCAACATGACAGACAAGTCAATCGCTTCCATGGTCCAGCTTACTGGTGCCACGAAAAATACTTTAGAATAGATGTGAGCCAGAGGAAGGTGAGAGGTTCCAAAGTCAGGATATGGAATTTTTAATTATTTAAATATTCAAGTGCTGTGCAATATTTTGTTTCTCTTCTGACAAATAAAGCTTGCCTGGAGACCAGAGGGTGGAACTAGCCACTAGTTAACCATAGAAGCTGATGCTTTACGACTTTAATCCCAGCACATGGGAGGTGGAGGCAGGAAGTGATAAGGTGGGGTGGAGACTTTTTCCCCAGCCTATTTGGGAAGAGGAAGGAGAGAGGTAGAAGGCAACTGGCAGCTGCTGCTGGCTCTCTGATCTTCCAAGTTCTTATCCCAATATTTGACTCCCAATTTTTTGTTGATTAAGATTAATTAGATTGCTTCATTTAAGTGTTATTTAAATATTAGGTATCATTTAAATATGCAAACATTGCAAATTGATCTTTTATTTTCTCCAATGATACATTTTAACTTTTATCTCATGAATCTTCACATGCATGCATTTACTAATACTCAGAAGTTTAATGAGGATTTTTTTTTTTTTTTTTTTTTTTTTTTTTTGCTTTGCTTTCTAGGTTACCTAGTTACAGGATTGGTTTTCCCCATAATGAAGCCCTTTAAATAGCTGGATAAACTTCATTTAATTGTATTTTTTTAACTTATGGAACTTATGGAAAAGATATGTTAACAATTCACTTGTTTCTCCCACTTGGCTCTGTATCCCAAGGCAGACTTTTTGTGAGACAGGGGTCTCACTTTTGTAGCTCTGAATGATCCAGAACTCACTACTTAGACCAAACTGGTTTTGAATTCCCAGTGATCCATTTGCCTCCCAAGTGACCCCATATCCAGCCCTCAAACCAGACTTTCTAAACAGTTATTATTACATACCTGGGGATTTCTGGGATACAAAATTCAGGACCAAGACTGCGGGCAACAAAGCAAAGGGTCATTAGTTGGGATTGCTTGCTCTTCAGGGGTCTCTCTCACACAGGCTCAGAGGTGTTTGCCCTTTCACACCTGGCTTTGCATTCTGGGAACCCTGACCAAGCCAGATATGAAATACGTTAACTCAATTGTCTGTTGCAGTTGTTAGAGAGCTCCAGTGTTCCAGAAAGCAAAGCATCTTTTGAGGGAAGCCAGCTGCAGGAAACCAAAGTATGATAAATGGAGGGCTTTCCTCTGATTCTCTAGCCTAGGAGGAGACAATGCAATGATGAACTAAACAGGCTCCACAGATGGCTACTGTCCTGGAGACACACTGGTAAGACAGGCAGAGCACAACCTTTCCAGTTACAGCCTCCCCCACACCTCCAACTTCAGATCTGCATGGACTGCAACCTTTACTTGGATGCACAAGCAGGCATACCATCCTCCTTCTATTTCTGCGAGGAAAGGGAAATCAGGACTGACAGTCAGACAGAGGGAGATCCAGACTCTTCCCGGTCCAGCTGTACCATTCTCCAGGATATGTCCACTTGCCCTCTCTCATCCTAATACTGATTCATAGGAGTCAGTGACACTCAGGAGCCAGGGCTCTTGGCAAGAGAGTAGATTCAAAGCTGCCTCTGCCACTACTCAGGTCAGTTTGGAAAAGGGCTTAATTCCTTTAAGCTTCAGCTCTTCCAGGTGGAAAATGGGGTTCATCATGGAGATGACTTCTCTGGATCATTGTAAAGATTAAGTGGGGTAAACTAGACGAGGGGCTTAGCACAGAGCCTGGCATAATGCAGGAGAGACACTATTACAAAAACTTTCCTGTTTTATCTAAAAGAAGAGCAGGAGACATGTCCTTTGGGCTAAGATTGTTTTGGGGAGCAAAACAGAAGCTGTGACAGACTAGCTTTGAAGACAACTTACAAAGGCACCTCTGCCCTAAAGTACTGATACACGTCAAAGACTGCTGGCCCACGGAGATAGCTGTAATGTCCAACATGAGTGAAATTAAAGTGGAAGACCCCCAGTAACCTCTGGGTTTTGGAATAAGGGTGGATGATGGGAGATGTCATTCTGTAAATATGTTTCTCTTATTGGTTAATGAATAAAGCACTGTTAGCCAATAGGAAAGCAAGATAGGCGGTATGAGGGGACTAGGAGAAGAGAGGAACTAGTAGGGAGGAGATCCAAGATGGAGGACAGAAAGAGAGCACAATGGCAGCCTATCTCTCCGGTAAGATAAGACCACATAGAAATACCTAGTAATAGAAATGGGTTAATAATTAAGACAGACCAGCAGGGAAAACCTACTCATAACAGGTGGACTCTATTAATGTCTGTCATTATGGGAATAATCATAACATTCTGTAATTCACATGTGATAGTCAATATCTATTTAAAACAGAAGTCTGGGCTGGAGCTGTAGTTTAGGGGAAATGTACTGTGTAGTTAGCACGTGTGAGCTGCTAAGTTTGACCCTCAGCACTGAAACAAAAGCAAACCTTCCAAGAACACCTGCTATGCACCTCACTAGCCTGTGTTAGGCTGTGGCAACACAATGATGGATTTATGGATTTCCTAGAAGCTCAGCATCTCAAGGCAGAAACAGCATCACCCTTCCTCTCTAGGCTTCAGAGCACTGTACTTAAGGCTTCTGAGGGGCTACAATGTAATTTTCTATACTGTCCAAAGTGAGATAATAGTGAATGCTAGGATCAATCCAACTCTTTTTAACATGTGGGCAAGAGGCGATATCCAAGAAGAATCCGAATGAGTGGAGGCAGAAGTAGAAAGTCTGAGGAGAAAGACCACCAACTGAGCCATCCCTAAAGCACCCCCCAGCACCACAATCCAGACCCAGAACTTATTCTCTGTGTTTCTTGCATTCCTTTCATAACTGTATTTCCTACAAGAATCTGTAAACAATGTACTACATCGTGTTTGCCCCCAGATCTAGCTGCTTAACTACAAAGGTAGTTTTCCCAAGCACATCTACTGTGCTGGCTAGTTTTATATTAACTTGACAAGAACTAAAGTCATCTAAGAGGAAGGGACCTCAATTGGGAAAATGCCTCCATAAGATCTGGCTGCAGGCAAGACTGTAGTCATTTTCTTAATCAGTGATTGATACAGAGAGCCCAGCCCATTATGGCTGGTGCCATCCCTGGGTTGGTCATCCTGGGTGCTAAAAGAAAGCAGAATGTACAAGCCAGTAAGCAGCACCCCTCCATGGCCTCTGCATCAGTTCCTGCCTCCTGGTCCCTGCCCAGTTTGAGTTCCTGCTCTAACTAACCTCTGCAATGGACTGTGATGTGGAAGTGTAAGCCAAATAAACCCTTTCCTCCCCAGGTTGTTTTGGTCATGGTTTTTCATCACAGCAACAGTTACCCTAACTGAGACACCCACTGTGGTAATTCATAAGCTAACAATGACAAACTCAAGTGTGTCCTGTGATCCAAACTTCCCTGAGTTTTTTTCCCAACTAGCACTGTCATAAAGTTGGGAAAATGTGAGTTTAGAACTCTGGGATGAGATAAGCGGAGTGTAGAGAACATGAGGGAGAGAGCAGAAGAAAGGGAGAGAGAGGGAAGAGACAGAATGAACAGATGCTGTTGGAATCCCTATTTCCACTCAAGCTCCGTCCCTACCATGGGCAGGACAGTTAACCTCTCAGTTTTCCTGAGATGAGTTTGAGTTGTGGTGGTTTTGTTGTTTGAAGCTAAAAGAAACCTTGACTACTCTGACTCTTACTTCTTACTATTATACCTGGTGACCTATAAAAAGTAAGAGCTTTGTCCAGCTCAGTGTCAGAGAATGTCTGCAGAAGAAGTTAGAAATGTATTTGGGGGCAAAGTATAAAAGCCATTAATTGCCACATGCTAAGTATTGGGCAATGTAAACCAAGGTTTTAAAGAAGACCCGAGGGTTAAATTGATCCCAGAAGTTTGGTGGAAGGTAAATTTGAGAGAGAACAGAGGCAAGAAGACAAATAAGAGTTCAGAGGAGGTGCTGGCCAACAGCCCACAGACCGTGGTGATTCACTGCCTACATCCATAAACAGAATTGTATTGGATTGCATCATCCACATGGAATAAGAGAAGTCCAAGGTCAGAATCCTGAGCAGATGGGAAGATGTATCAATATGCACATACCCAAGATGGAGCTTTGACTAGAGAATTCAGGAATGACCACAACAATGGAGGAAGGCACCTGGGAACTTGTTAACCCAGAACTGTGGCAATATCCCTGTAGTTGCAGGAGGGCTGAAGCAGAAGGAGAATTGCCAAATTCCAGGCCAGCCTGAGCTACACAGACAAGTTCAAGGCTAGCGTCTGTCTCAAACAAAAAAGGTCAGTGGTTGATCGTTTGCCTAGCATATGCAAAATCCTGCGTTCAGTCTTCATTCAGCATGAGAGAGTGACAAAGAAACTGTTTCTTAGTCATAAGTGTGTATACCACATCCGTTTAAAGGCATCAGATACTGACTGGACTGGAATCCAGCATCACCAAACAAACAAATGAGCTCCCTTGCATGGCTGGGTGGTGCTGTATGGTGGTGAATGCCAACAATCCCAGTGGGCCAAGGCAGGAGTATCTTGACTGTCAGTGCTAGGCTAACCTGGGCTATATATTAGCACTGTTTTAAAACCAGACAAAACAAAAAAGAGGAGGAAAAAAAAAAAGAAAAATGTTAAAGAGAAAAGATAAGAGGTCTTCCATGAAGTCAAATATGAGCACATCATAGCTTGTATGCAATCGTCTTCTCATGAGATGGGAGTTCTGGGAGAGAAGGGATTTCATGTATTTGCCTATTTCTAGGGCCTAGTGAACTCCATACCACATAAGACAGTGCTCAGTAAACATTTGATGAAAGAGTAGAACTGGAAATAGAACACATCATGTCAACTAGAGTTCAGCCATTCAACATGGTAGCCACTAAGCTTGTTTGCCTCAAACTGACAGTAAACACCCCAGATTTTGAAGACTTGGTACCCAAAAATGGATGTAAGATCTCTCTCTTTCCCTTCCTCCCCCCCCTCTCTCTCACACACACACACCTACACACACACACACACACACACACACACACACACACCCCTAGCACATGTCACCAAACTGAAGACAGGTCCCATGTAGACTGAAAAGATTAACACTGAAGATTTAGATTCCCCAATATTCTTATTTTAGGTTTCTCTTGTAATAATGGAAAACATAACATTTTCCCTTTATTATACTTATGCAACCATCTTACTCTTTTATTCTACTTGTTTTTACAAATGATCTTGTGTTCTGGTTCCCAGGGAATGGATGAATAGACAGATAGGTATACAGTCTATCCTGGCAACTGGGGTAATGGAGGCAGTTAGTGGGTTAGCATAATACAACCCGAGCACACTTTACTGTACAGTATCAAATACGCATCCCCTCAAAGCACTTATCCCCCAAAGCACTTATAAATGGTGTATTTCCTCCTTGGCAGCACAGCAGCTTGCTGGAGGCAGCCCATCTTCAAATCTCAATAAATTTTGAAATTTTGAGTCAGTTCTTTAACTTGTCATCCAGCTCTTTGAAGTTATAAAATGAGGATAAAAGGCAATCACTTACCCCTCGGCTCCTGTACAGGTAAACACATAACAGAATTTAACTGCCAGTAGAAGTAAACCACCCCAACAACTTGTGCAGCTTTCCTTTCTGTCCAATTGCCTGAAACTAGGAAATGAAACCAGTTCTACCTGAAACCTGGCACTGCTTGGATGTGGAAGCAGGGAGCACCGTAAGGTGTGTGGCTTCAAGGCAGGACAGAGGCAAGAATGAAATTCTTGAGTGGGCGCAGTGGGAATCCCTAGGAAAGTGTTGGTATTTAGCTCTGGAAATTCAACACAGTTAAAGATCATATCAGCTGAGGATGTTTTCTGGAGAGCAAAACAAAAATAAAGACTGTGTGTGTGTGTGTGTGTGTGTGTGTGTGTGTGTGTGTGTGTGAGTGTGTGTGTGTGTGTGTGGACTCATTGACTTTGGTTTTTAGGAGAGTTAAATAAGTATCTTTTTCAGGGCTGGAGAGATGGCTGAGCCGTTAAAGGCTAGGCTCACAACCAAGAATAACGTGTCTTTTTCAGATCTCCTTTTTAAGAAAGCATTTTTTTTCCTCGGGGCAAGAACAAACAGCTTCACCTACGCTATTGGCATCACTGGGCTAGATATTGTTTAAATGCTATTGGGGTGCCGTGCAAAGTAGTTCAAGGAGTCAAAAGTCAAAATCTTGATTTTTGGACATTTCAAGTCATCCAGTTTGGATTTAGAGGCCATCTGTAGTGCAAACCCTTCTCTTGGGCGATCAAGGAGGTCCAAAGTTCACATTGCTCTGGCCAAACAAGTTCCGACGTAGAGTGCAAGCCAGAGGATGCTCGTCCCTGTATATCATTACGTTTGCAAAAAAAACAATGTAAGAATCGCAGGCAACAGGGTGAGCCAGGGCGGAGATGGAGGCCCTGGGATCGAACATGACAATTTTCCTTTTGGCTGCAGGGTGAGATGCACACACCCACGCAGACCTCCCCTCCTCTCAGCCATGCATCCTACCTTCTCGGGCGGTGCCTCGGTAGCTGTGGGGCTCCAGAGACCCAACCTGGAGTGGTAGAGAAGTTTTCGGGGTTAGGCGCCGTCGCAGGTGCGGGCTGGGTCCCGCCAGTAGCGGGGGCACCGGGAAGTTACTCGCAGTCACCTTCGGCACTGCTTACCCGTTGGCGGCCCTGCCAAGGAGATCCCGCGAAGGGCAGACCAGGAGGGCCAGCCCCGCTCGCCGCTCGCACTGGGTTCCGAGCCGCGAGCCTGGGACGCCGCGTCGCCATGGAGACAGGATGGACTGCCGGTAGAGCCCCGGGAGCCGCGGGAGCCGCCCAGCGGCTGGGCGGTGGGACGCAGCGGAGGGGCGAGCGGGGCGGAGCGCGGCGGGCCCGGGGCGGGGCGCAGGGAGCGGGCTGGGGGCGGGGCGGGGGCGGGGCCAGCTGTTGGAACCACGCGGAGGGCGGAGCGGGATGCACGGGTGGCCCAGCGCCCCGAGGGCCTGGGGGTAACGCTGCCGGGCAAGTTAGGGGCACACACCCTGGGGCAGACTTGAGCACGTACCCTGGTTACTTTGAGAAAGGCCGGAGACAGGGGAACTGGAAGGTCGGTGTCCATACCTTATCCTGACTCTAGGTGGCGGAGGGAAAGGGGCGAGGTGGCCTCATTTGGGGGTTACAACTTGTGGAAGAAAAGATGCCTTGAGTTGGGAGGGATTGGTGCCTCTGGATGTAGATAAACAAAAATCCCCTGCACCTGAGACCGCCCCAAGAAGATTATGGGTTTCCTGGTGGTCTCGACATCAATTCTCCTAGGAATCCGGTTCAGGTGTTCAGAACCAGACTCTCCTTTCCCACCAGCCCGGGCCAAGTCTGGGTTCCCTTTCGCGCCCGGGCTGCTACTGAGGCACCTCGGCCAGTTGGAGGTCTTATGCCTCACTGCTTCGGTCACAAAAGAGGGTGGGAGTATTCTCTGTTAGAAAATCCCAATTGTCTCTCACGCTTATCTTTTAGGGGAAAAAAAAATGGGTAGTCTTTTTCCTTGAACACGGAAAACTTGTTGCTAGGCAACTAGTTTTGAAGAGAGACCCGTTTGTTGTAATCAAATCTGTATTCGAATTTCACATAGAAGATAAGAGATATGATCACTATCTTAAGGGCCCTCTGGGGACATGCACTTTACCTGATGGTGAAAATACGTCAAGTTTTGATGTGTAGAAGATGCTTTAATTATGGCATTATTATTAAAAAAAAAAAAAAAAGGCCCAGCCAAAGCATTCAGAACCAAGAATTTACAGTTTCAGTTATTTTTAAATTCTCTGATTCATCCATCCAGTCACTCTATAAATCTCTGAATCATGGATGTTAGGAAAGCATCAAGAAAAAGGGCTAGAATGAAAGTTTAAGGAACTCAATGAAATAATTGATGAATGCATGCCTTTTCTGATGAGGACCTAGCAAGCCACCTCTTCCGATATTGCATGAACGGGAATACGTTACATACCCGATGTCTAAATTTTGCCAAAGACCGTTCTCAGTAAAGGCAAAGAGAAAATGTATGTCTTGATTGTGCTTTAAAAACGTTAGTTCTGTTACATCTTCTTGATATTGATAAATAGATAATGATGGCTTTGCTGCACACATTGTTCTACTATAAGAAATTAAGCTGACCTGATTATTCTGTCTCTTTCTATCCCCCATACCCCAAAAGACAGTTCAAGCAAGTTTATACAGTGCAGTTTTCAAGGTGTATCATTGTTCCTACATCACAGAACATGGGAAGAGAAACTATTTACAGACTAACATATGACATCTGACCAGTAACTCTTAGGTAATAGTATCACACTGCTGTATTATGCATCTAAATCAAAGAACCTGCTTCCAGAGTTAACTGTAAGAAGAAAGATCATTCCAGGTGGGTGCCTGGCCCAATGCCTATTCAACCCCACAATCTTACTTCTCTTTGATGCAGAAGCTTTACAGTTCTTCTTTATTTGCATAACATCAGAAATAATTTGCCCATGTCTACAGCCTTTAGGCAGTTGTTATTGACATAATGCTCAAATATAAATTGGAGTTTAGTTTTGGCCTGTGCATTTGGATGCTGAATAAGTTTATCTGAAGTATCTGCCTAGTGAGGGGTTGTTCTAAAGAAGTGAAAGAGAAAGCCAACTGCTCACACAAGTACCAAATCTCTCCACAACAGCTATTATTAAAGTCTATAGTGTTTTGTTTTTAGTGGTACTGGGAATTGAATCCAGAACTTTGTACACTTTAGCCAGTCTCCTACTGAGCTACATGCCGGGCCCTATCCCAAAGGCTTTTAATAGATGCATTTACATTACAGATCTGAATGTTAGCAGAGCATGATTTAAAAAAAAAAAAGCCCTTAAATAACATTTAATGCTTTCTGACCATAAAACAAGTATGGGATTAGGGGTGCAGGTTAGTTCTGAAGTACTTGCCTATGACATTGCAGCCCTGGGCAATGAAAACAAAACACACAGCAAACAAGCTCCCTCCCAAACAGAAAGCCTGTGTTAGCAATACACTCTCATGATGAACTATTTACAACATACTGAAAAGCACAACAAAAAGAATTTAAACTACCAGGAATTCTCCTGCCCAGTAGTAATCTCAGCCAGTAATTCCAATTTTTACTTCTAGCCCTCTTTTGGCCAGATATTTACTCACTAACATTTGTGTTTGATGGTTTGTGTTGTTGGTGTTCTTTCTCTTGAGTATTTTCCCAGTGTCTTTAGTCTTCAAAATATTTTGTGGCATACATATGATATATCTTACAGCTTACTTATAATTTCTTCTGACAGTCCCTAATTTGGAAAATTCTAACTTTTCTCCTGCTAATTCATTACTTCTGAAAAATCCCTGTTGGAAGCTATGTAGAGGCTGTATGTGGGACATGAGATGTGAGCGCTGAAGAGTAACTATAATAAGGGTTAGATGACCATCTTTGTAAATAAATCTTGGATGACATCTTTCATTCTCAGACCAGATTCCTAGGTCTATTAAAATGCAACTTCAAAAGGCATTCTCTGAACTTCAAAGGCAGGCACACTAAAATCCTGAACTGTAAAATATTAACTTTTTGGAAAAGTACCAACAACAGACTTGATATTTATTTTGTGCAAAGTGTGAACTTCCCCAGAAGAAACTTTCTTGCCAGTTGCCAGTTGCTGGGGAACACCAAGGGTGTTTGAAGTGTATTGACTTGGGCTTTTACCTCTAATTCTTTCCAGGATTTGTTGGTTTGCTCAATAGTGTGAGATTGTTTGAAGTCTATGCAAATTAGCCCACTTCCTCTTCTCACAGTTAAATTGTTAAGGGTGGTGTTTAATTTCCAGCTCCCCTCCTGTAAACACAGGGCTGCTGTGCATTGCTTTTCCTGCATTGCTTTTCGTTTATCTTCTCACAGGAAGCACTTCATATCTTCCACTAACCTAAGGGTATATTTCTTCTAAACAAAAATTATCATATACACATTCCTGTAAGACACTTGATTAAACACATCCTGTGGTTAGTTTTAGTCAGGAAATATGTAAATTGATTATTGCATTTAGAGATTTTCATTATAGAGAGTTTTTAACTGAAGACAACCATCACTGCTGACACCACATTTGTTCATACACCTTGCTCTCTTTGACAATTGAAATTTAAAATATTGGGTCAAATCACATGCCATTGTCATTTGTGGATAAGAATTGGTGGCCACTGCATGTAGTTCTGTCTATACAAGTACTTTGCAAATTAGTTTGTATTTTCCACCTTTCTCCAAATGTTACACTTCCCACTTCTCTTAGTAAGGATATCCGTTGTTATTGAATGAGATAGTTTGCCTTGGTTTTCACGTAATGATTGAATCTAATCAGGACAGTACCCATAAAACATTTATTTAGTATTTTGGAGTCAGTAGAGGGAGCCTGGAGCCAAAAGATTATTGCTGTGGACATACAAATCACGATTGTCTTCTAGTTCTTGATGTGTGAATGTATTTAAGCACTGATGTATATGTAAAACAGCAATAATTTTAAAGTTTATTTGCTTAAATAATTTCATTTAAAAAGACCAGAGAGTGTCTGGCTGCCCGTGCAAGCTGGGTGTCTTGTTTTAATTAATTTTTACTTAAATTAATAGCAATCTTATTTTACATACTTCTCCCTCCCATCCCCCATTCCCCCCACCAACCTCCATTCTATCCCCCACCCACTCCTCAGGGACTGTGAGTCCTCCCATGGAGGATCATCAAAGTCTGTCACATCATTTGAGGGAGGACCTAGGGCCTCCCTCATGAATCTAGGCTGAAGGAGTTTCTCTCCATGGGAAATGGACTCCCAAAGTCCATTTGTGCCCTAGGGATAAATACTGGTTCCACTACCAGAGGCCCCATAGAGGCCTCCTAACTAACACCCACATTCAGAGGGTCTGGTTCGGTCCAATGCTGGTTCCCCAGCTGTCAGACTGGGGTCCACGAGCTCCCACTTGCTCAGGTCAGCTGTTTCTGGGGATTTCCCCAGTATGGCCTTGAGCCCTTTGCTCATCACTCCTCGATCTCTACAACTGGATTCCAGGAGTTCAGCTCAGGGCTTAGCTATGGATCTGCTTCCATCAGCTACTGGATGAAGGCTCCAAGCTGGGTGTTTTAAGTGTTCCCAGTGGGACCAAGCAGAATTTATTCCTGCCTCTTCTGAGTAAGTAATCCCAGCGTAACACACTGCTGAGGTTCGTTGTGCTTAACACTTTCTCCATTTTCAAAGCACAATGTAGGCTTTCATTTCTCTGGACACACTGTCAAGACTCTTGTCAGAACTGTAAAATATGTCACCACCTCCAATTTTGTGTCTTGATGGAGTCATTGTAGTGTCGTCGATTGTTTTCCCCAGACACGCAGGGAAGTTCTGTCATCCCACAGAAAGCTCGCTGCTACTTAATAGTCCTTTTTTTAAAATTTTCATATATTTTTAAAGATTTGTTTTATGTATATGAGTGCTCTCTCTGCATGCACACCTTTGATCCAGAAAAGTGCATCGGATCCCACAATAGTTGGTTGTGTCCCTCCATATGGGTGCTGGGAATTGAACTCAGGACCTATGGAAGAGTAGTCAGTGCTCTTAACTGCTGGCCATCTCACCTTCCCCAAACTGAATTTCTTTAGTTACTATGTATATGTCTACATAAGTGGGAGCGAGTGTGCTATGGTATAAATGTGGAGGTTATTTCATAATTGGTTATTTGCATCCATCCTGTGGCTTCCAGGTATTGAACTCAGGTCAGTAAGCTTGACAGCAAGCACCTTACCCACTGAGCAGTCTTTCTGGCTTCTTAGTTTGTATTTCTTTAATAGTGCCCTATGGTCGCTGTTTAAATCATCTTGTCATCTGAACAGCAGTCTTTCAGCTCACTTCCAGAGGGGACTCACCTCTCACAGATTTTCAGCCCTATCTGACTTCTATTCCATCCATGCAGTCGCCTTCCCATTGAGGATCCCCACCTTCTTCCCAGGACCCTATACTTCATCTCATTCCTTACATGTCACATATCATCGCCGCTCCCCGCCATAACCCTTCTGCACAGGTGAGGAACTTGTCAGGAGCTATGGTAACCCCTTCCCCAAGAGTGAATCAGGAGCTAAATAAAGCCTGTGAGGCTGGATCACAGCTGACCAGCGGTGACTACACTTCTGTTCTTGTCCAGCCCCTCCCCATTGTGCCACTGTGTCTCCCTGCCTCACACTGCTCATGTTCAGCTGCTCGGCTACACTCACCCCAGCCCCAGCCTTTGCCTCTAAAGGAACTGATTCATGTAACTGATCTTTCACGTCTGTGTGGATCCTTAATTCTTCCCTCTCACCTGACACTGTGCCAATATTCGCAGTGTAGAGGAGAGGCGAACTTATCCAATCACACAAGTGACCCTAGAGTCAAACACTTCACGGCTAGCCAAAACACACTTCCTTTTCAGGATTCAACAGGACAGCACGAACATTCACAGCTCCTGTCCCT